CCTATCTGTTAATACTACCCTTTGAATCAGTGGTTTAGGGCCCCGCCTCACATATAATGGTCGCTAGTTCGAGTTTTGCGTCCAAATTTTCAATAGATTTTCAATAGAATATGATATCGGCTTCCTATCTGTTAATACTACCCTTTGAATCAGTGGTTTAGGGCCCCGCCTCACATATAATGGTCGCTAGTTCGAGTTTTGCGTCCAAATTTTCAATAGATTTTCAATAGAATATGATATCGGCTTCCTATCTGTTAATACTACCCTTTGAATCAGTGGTTTAGGGCCCCGCCTCACATATAATGGTCGCTAGTTCGAGTTTTGCGTCCAAATTTTCAATAGATTTTCAATAGAATATGATATCGGCTTCCTATCTGTTAATACTACCCTTTGAATCAGTGGTTTAGGGCCCCGCCTCACATATAATGGTCGCTAGTTCGAGTTTTGCGTCCAAATTTTCAATAGATTTTCAATAGAATATGATATCGGCTTCCTATCTGTTAATACTACCCTTTGAATCAGTGGTTTAGGGCCCCGCCTCACATATAATGGTCGCTAGTTCGAGTTTTGCGTCCAAATTTTCAATAGATTTTCAATAGAATTTGATATCGGCTTCCTATCTGTTAATACTACCCTTTGAATCAGTGGTTTAGGGCCCCGCCTCACATATAATGGTCGCTAGTTCGAGTTTTGCGTCCAAATTTTCAATAGATTTTCAATAGAATATGATATCGGCTTCCTATCTGTTAATACTACCCTTTGAATCAGTGGTTTAGGGCCCCGCCTCACATATAATGGTCGCTAGTTCGAGTTTTGCGTCCAAATTTTCAATAGATTTTCAATAGAATATGATATCGGCTTCCTATCTGTTAATACTACCCTTTGAATCAGTGGTTTAGGGCCCCGCCTCACATATAATGGTCGCTAGTTCGAGTTTTGCGTCCAAATTTTCAATAGATTTCTAATAAAATATGATATCGGCTTCCTATCTGCTAATACTACCCATTGAATCGGTGGTTTAGGGCCCCGCCTCACATATAATGGTCGCTAGTTCGAATCGCATGCAATCTATTGTATTCATGATGTTTGTTTGTATTTATATGTTTTCTATGTATTATATATTGTTGCGGGTAAATGATGCGATGTTGTTGGTCGAAACGATGTATATTACAGATGATAATTGACTGACAATATGTACATAGAAATAATGATCTTATATAGTAAATAACAATAGGAACATGTAAGGTGGGGTGACACAGTTTAGACACAGCAGTGCCTAGTAGATAATATTGAATTTGTCTTACTAGACATGCAATGCAATTATTATATTGATGTATCTAGGTGACTGCGTCCCATATATATTTTCTAAAGTAATAGTAGCCTAAGTTACTCCTTATTACATCAGCTGCCTGTTAAGAAAACTTCCGTCAAAATCGGTCCAGCCATTACAGAGATTAGCCGGAACAAACAGATAGACAGACAAAAATTGTAAAAAATATTATTTTGGTATATGTACCGTTTTTATATTCATATGCATGAAGTAAAAAACAGTTATTTCAATATTACAAACAGACACTCCAATTTTATTTATATGTATAGATGAATGAAATTTGAAATTTAGGTCTGTTCTAGCATATGTATGTACTTATAAAAAATATTGTATGTAAATATTTATGTATTATTATAAACATGTACAACATTTATTTGAAAAGAATACGAGCTGAGTTTCTTGTCAGTTCTCATTTCGAAATCATTCCGAACTGACGGTAGATTTGACATATCATAACAGTCTGTAATAGACCTACATGAATAAAGATATTTTGAAATATGAATTTATTTTGATTTTTTTAAATGAAAAAATCAAACAAAGTCGCATGTCACAGTTAGTGAATGAAGTCGTTGAAGAGATCACGTAAACTAATTTAATACAACGCGTGGTGTCCCGACTTCCATTAAATAAATAATGTTGCTCCATACGTGACTCGAATGTAGCTTTGACACGAACGGAGGGGTACAGCGATCGAATCCCGGGTTAAAACACTTACGTTCGACATATAACACTACTAAAATGCTATATAACATACTAGCGGTACTAGATAACTGATACAAATATATTTTTTCGTAAATATCTACATAATATACTTAGAAATCACCTAGACCGAGACAAACAATCATGCTCATGAATACAAATGTTTGTGCCGTGCGAGGAATCGAACCCGAGACCATCGGTCGTAAAACGGTGTGCTAAATCGCTAGACCACCGAGGCCGTCAAAGTTCATTACAAACTAGCTGTTCCCGCGACTTCGTCCGCGTGGAATTTAACTTTATTTTTCTATTTAAAGATTTTTTCAAAAATAAAAGTAGCCTAAGTTACTTCTTATTACATCAGCTACCTGCCAATAAAAGTCCCATCAAAATCGGTCCAGCCATTTCAGAGATTAGCCGGAACAAACAGACAGACAGACAAAAATTGTAAAAAATTATTTCGGTGTATGTACCGTATTTATCATATGCATGTAGTAAAAAACGGTTATTTCAATATTACAAACAGACACTCCAATTTTATTTATATGTATAGATGAATGAAATTTGAATGTTTGATCTGCTATAGCGTCTGCTTACCTTCTAGAGGTCTGCTAAAAATATTTTCCAGTAGAAAGGTACGTAATGTTATTAATTTATTTAATTCCTCTACAATTGGCACGTGTGTGACCACAAACATTCGGTGTGGAAAGTTGACCATAGTTACGATCTTCTCTATTGGTGATCAAATCCCGACCGTTATTGAGTCTACATCCATATCGCGTCGTGTTTCTCCTCTGAACGAGGCTTCATCAGGCGGTGAATAGAGTTCCGATATAACTTGGAAGACTAGTGTTGACTGTCCAACGACCAAACCTGGACTCGAATATAAGTCTTTATCTATAACATATTTATAGAAATAGAAATAATCTTTATTCAAATAAACTCATTACAAGTGTAAGAAGCACTAATTAATGATGATGACTGAGGCTTTGAAGCCGGCTACCGCAAGGGAAACCCCAAGTAGCGCCCGTGACTTGTGACACGGGTGGAGGTTTACAAGGCCCTTTTAGAATGCATTAACACTCACCTTCACTACTTGCAGTTTCCCCCCAGGCCCGACTAAGACCGGGATAAACCCATTGCTAATACAATTCACTTTAGTATCCAAAACACAACCGGCACGCTCTGCGCTCGTCGACTGAATGCCGCGGCTCACGCAACGAAAGAGGATTATTCAACTACCGACCTCCGTATTTATAGACCAAAGTCAGTGTAGTAGGTTGGTCTATAAATACTAGATGGCGCTATTTACAATATTCGTAATAATCCTTACATTGGGTACTTCATTAGTACTAAAAACAAACTACCTTCTTTTAATATATTTTTAAAATATCGGATCTTTTTCTACAATAATGATGTGAATTCTAACACAAGCACTTTTGAATAGTCATATTTTAATTCTACCATCTATATCTGATATATCCTGCAGTACAGTTTTTTTTCTGTCTACTCTAATGCTGGCCGCAGCTGGCCTTTACAGCTTCACCGGACGTTAGGGGGCGAGTGCAGATAGCACTCGAAACCAAAGGACTTATGGAGCGGCTGAAGGAGAAAAGCCTCGGTGGTCTAGTGGTTTAGCATACCGCTTTACTATCCGATGGTCGCGAGTTCGAGTCCTCTTTCGAGTATTCATGAGTATGATTGTTTGTATTGGTCTGAGTGTTTTTTATGTATAATATGTGTTTATTTACAAAATAAAATGCATGTATATCAGTCCAGGGTTATTTATTTATTTATATCAGTTGTCTAGTACCCATAACACAAGCTCTGCTTACCGTGGGACTAGATGGCGCTGTGTTAATTGTCCAGGGTTATTTATTTATTTATATCAGTTGTCTAGTACTCATAACACAAGCTCTGCTTACCGTGGGACTAGATGGCGCTGTGTTAATTGTCCAGGGTTATTTATTTATTTATATCAGTTGTCTAGTACCCATAACACAAGCTCTGCTTACCGTGGGACTAGATGGCGCTGTGTTAATTGTCCAGGGTTATTTATTTATTTATATCAGTTGTCTAGTACCCATAACACAAGCTCTGCTTACCGTGGGACTAGATGGCGCTGTGTTAATTGTCCAGGGTTATTTATTTATTTATATCAGTTGTCTAGTACCCATAACACAAGCTCTGCTTATCGTGGGACTAGATGGCGTTGTGTGAATGTTTTTTTTCTCTTAATGATTTGTATTTTATTTATTATTTGTATTTATATGTTATAATAATTTATATGCTGCTGTGAGCGTCGTCATTGTTGTGTTGTGATGTGTGATTGTTGTTACGTTATTCAAACAACAAGTGTAGGCTGTGAATGATACTTTATTCTTTTGTACAATGGGTGACACATTAGAGTATTTATTATTTATCTACCTACATATTAGTTCATAATATCTGACATCTCCCTTCTTAAAATTAAGTAAGAATAGAACATAATTATATTTAAATATACAATGAGAAATAATTAAAATGTTGTGGAAAGTATACAGACATATACTTATCACATTTATCAATTAATATATACTATACAAACGCAATTAATTGATATCATTGCTTATACATACATTACATATTTATTATTAATATTATTTTAAATATGTATTGATTTAGCTAATCAATAAAATTAATATATAATCATACTAAAACGAAAGAAAAAAAAAACTTTTTTCTTTTTATATAATCATAATTTATGCCTGCGTTTAATATTTATTTCATTATTACATGTTAATTAACATTATCTTTTATATAACATTTGACATTCAAATAAATTTCTGTTTTATTTTGGGGTACAAATAACTATTTACTCCAATGCATTGTATGTTTATCTATGTTATATATGTACATGTACCTACAGTCTAAAAATACAATTGTATGCGAAACACAATATTACTTACTTACTAACAGAAATACAATGAAAATTTTATGTGTACCCCAATCTATTTGGTGGTATTACTGTTCTACCAAATCTCGTAACATAATAATTATTATTATTCTGAGTTGAGCAACTCGAATTAGGTATATGTATGTTATCATAATCCAGGTTATAATCAGAGGGCGAGTCATGTCTGAGTTGTGAATCTTTTATTATATGTTTTCGATTTCTAACGATCCTATTGCCTTTCTGTAACAAAATTTCATATGACCTATCCCTAAGTATCCTAATTACAGTTCCAGATACCCAGCGTTTTTTATTTAAATCTAACACTTTCACTTTCTGAGAAATATGTAATTTATCTAAATTTCTTGCATTTTTATCATAATACATTTTTTGTTTTATCTGTCGCTCCATTAGTTTTTTATGTACCTTTTTCTGGATTTTAGGTTTTAATAGCCTGTCAGACACGGGAATAACACTTCGCAACTTTCTGCTTTGTAAAAGCTCCGCCGGTGATGCTAAATTCTCATCTAACGGTGTATTTAAGTACTCTAATAGTGCAATACGATAGTCGGTGTGTGATTCACTCGTTTTTATTATGATATTTTTAACTGTCTGCACTGTCCGCTCAATTTGTCCATTTGATTGTGGATATCGTGGTGAAGATGTTGTATGAATAAAGTTCCATTCCTGTGCAAATTGCTTAAATATATGTGACACAAATTGTGGACCACAGTCTGACATAACAATATTTGGTATTCCTTGACGACTGAATATATTCTTTATACAATTTATGACATATTCTGAAGTAGTCACAGGCAACTGTACAATTTCAAAAAACTTACTGAAGTAATCAACCATTAGTAAATAGTGACATCCTTTAATTTCGAACAGGTCCATACCTACCTTAGCCCAGGGTCGATTTGGAATCTCATGGGGTTGTAGTTCCTCTTTTTGATTACTTTTTCTATGTGTTAGACATATGTTACAGTTCGTTATCATATTTTTTAAATCATTATTCAAACCAGGCCAAAACATTATCTCCCTCGACCTTAAAGTGCACTTTTCCAGCCCCATGTGTCCAATATGAATCTTTTGCAACATTTCTTGTCTTAAACTTTTTGGAATTAATATTTTGTTACCTTTCCAAATTAAACCATAATTCATAGATAGTTCTTCCTTAAAATTCCAATATGGCTTAACTGCATCAGCTACTTCACTTTTGTTACTTGGCCACCCATTCGCAATATATTCTTGTAACTGTATTAGTTCATTATCAGTTTCTGTGATTTTTTGCAACTGTAAAAATTGTGCATCTGTATATTTCGACGTGATAGACCTTATTTCGCCCACCACACACATTTCGTCTTGGTCTGTATGACTAATATCATCTTCAGAATTCTGTTCATATGCGCGAGATAGGGTGTCCGCTATATACAAATGTTTGCCAGGTTTATATATTAAATTAAATGTATATCGTTGTAATCTAAGCAACATTCTTTGCAAACGGAGTGGTGCGTCTACTGTGGGTTTTTTTATTATGCTAATGAGCGGTTTATGATCTGTTTCTATCGTCACGTCGGAACGTCCATAAATGTATACATTAAATCGTTCACAAGCAAATAAACATGCATACAGTTCTTTTTCAATTTGTGCATATCTCTGCTCTGTTTCTGTCAATGATTTTGAAGCATAACACACTGGCAAGTTATCTTGCATAAGACATGCACCTAAACCACTCTTACTAGCATCTACAGATATAACTATGTGTTTATTCATACTGTAATATTGTAATACAGGACGTTTCAGTAAACATGTTTTTAAATAATTAAAACATTCTTCATGTCTCTCATTCCAGTGCCACGATATGTCTTTCTTTAACAGTTCTCTAAGTGGTAATGTTCTGTCAGAGAGATTGGGAATAAATGTACTGACATAGGTTATCATGCCTAAAAACCTCTCCACATCCTTTTTGTTTTTTGGGATAGGCATATTTTTAATGGCTGATATATGTGAATCGTCGGGACATAAACCATTTTTTGTAATACGATGCCCCAAATACTTTATTTCATCCAATCCAAATTTACATTTATTTTTATTTAATTTTAAATTAATATGTCTACATCTATCTAGCACTTTTTTCAGTATTTCATCGTGTTGTTTTTTATCAATAGCATATATCAAAATATCATCAATGTACATCTCACAACCTTGTATATCCCCAAAGTATTCAAACATTTTTTTATGAAAGACTTCTGACGCTGAACAAATTCCAAAAGGCATTCTAAGAAACTTGTATCTACCAAACGGCGTATTAAAAGTACAATATTTGCTAGATTCATCAAGTGCCACATTCCAAAATCCAGAAGTAACGTCTAAAGTGCTGAAATACCTAGCTCCAGACAACTTTGATACTATTTCATCTAACGTAGGTAGCCTAAAATATTCTCTTTTTATTGCCATATTTAATTCTTTCGGGTCTAAACAAATGCGTAAATCACCATTCGCTTTTTTAACAATTGTTATACTATTGACCCAGTCTGAAGGACCGTCAACTTTTGCTATAATTCTTTGGGAAACCATTTCATCCAGTTTTTGTTTGACCTTATCTTTCAGAGCGAATGGCAATTTTCGTGGAGCATGAATAACTGGAACTGCATTATCTTTTAATACTATTTTGTACTTACCCGGCAGACATCCTATTCCTTCAAACACATCGGCATATTCCTCCACTATCTCCGGAACACGACTACTACATGATTCCTTTATAGACATGACTCGCCGAATGATGTCTAACTCACAGCAAGCTTCACGCCCCAGTATAGGTTTTGAATTTACATCTGCAATTTTAAATTCCAAAGCATACATTTTATTTTTATAATACACCTTTAAATAAATTTTTCCTAATATTTTTATATTTTCACCTGAATAGCCTATTAATTTTGTGTCACATTTTAATAAATTTTTCTTATATATATTAATCCTAGACAAATATTTAAATGGTAAAACATTGACATCAGCACCTGTGTCTATTTTAAAATTTAGAAAAATAGAATTTAGTTTTAAATCTACCGTCCAAATATCATGGTGACTACTGCGTTTAAAAAAATTATTTACCTCGTCCTCCGATTGTTCCACTTGATAAACGCGACAAACTCGCGAAAAGTGATTCATTCTGGAGCAACGTAAACATTTTCTTCCATACGCGGGACATTTGTATCTATTATGCACCGTTCCACACCGACCGCACGACGTTTCATTATTACTACGTAACACCGCTGGCTCCGACCGGTCACAGCGACCGCGATGACTCAGCGGCGGCAACGACGCACGTGTTCCCCACTTCGATACCCGGGACGGTCCAGCTTCATCATTTTGACGGCCGCTTCTTGAATATGATATGTTATTTTTCTTTTTTATCTGCCATACGTCCCCTCTTAAATTACTCGATTGGTCACTGATATCGCATATCATATCTTTTTCTTGTTTTATATTATCTGAATATACTCGGGAAACTATCACCGCTCGACATATATCCATAGCTTTATTTATTTAGCGTTAAATCATCTTCTCGTAATAACCGCTCTCTAATAGTAGAACTATGTAATCCACACACTAATCTGTCTTTTATTAAATCTTCATTCAAAATTCCAAATTCACATGTTTGTGCTAATTTCTTTAAATCCAAAACATATTGCTCAATAGATTCATTTTCTTTTTGCGATCTTGTAAAAAACTTATGACGTTCCACCGTAACGTTCTTTTTAATTTTGAAATGATCGTCCAATTTTTTAAAAACACCGTCTAAGTTATTTATACGTTCCGTTGACTGATCAATAATTTCACGACATTGTTCTCCAATAACATGCAATAATATGTTCATTTGAATACTTGCAGATTTCTTTTCCAACTCACACGCACAAAAATATATCTTGAAACCTTTTTTCCATTTCTCCCAATTGTCACACAATCTTCCCGAAGAATCCAGCATGCCCTCCTCAAATGTGAAAGGCAATGGCGGCGACAAGATGGTCTCCATAATTATTATTTCAATTTATTTTATAATGTTCTGTATTAATTTTACACTATATATATATATTTATTATTTATATTTAATGCCGATTATATTTGCGTATACTCATATATTTACTTAATTATTGTTAACTATACCGACTGCGCCATGTTACGTTATTCAAACAACAAGTGTAGGCTGTGAATGATACTTTATTCTTTTGTACAATGGGTGACACATTAGAGTATTTATTATTTATCTACCTACATATTAGTTCATAATATCTGACAATTGTAATAAATATTATTCTATTCTATTCAAATTGTCCTAAAAAAGAAAGCTCCCGCCTGACGGATACGACGCCAGTCTGAGGCACCGCTAGGGGTTCGAACCTCGGCTCAGGCCGTCGTAATATCGATCCCCGTTTGGACGGGAGATCGATCGGAGGCGAGTAAGTTACTATGTAACAAATAAGTTATTCAGTAGTGAACTTGAGGCGTCGGTCGCGTCGGACTAACTCTATACATAATAGCTTGTGACTTGACGTTTTATCCCGCGGGAAATAGTAACTGTAATTATTGTTTATTTATTCGAAACTATATAAATTGTGGAGTATGACATGCAAGGTTTAAAATATAATGGCTGAAAACTGTGATTGGTACAGTTTCTGCTGTAAATAATATAAATGACGTAGTGGAGTAACTTGAAACAGTCATGCTCGCTATAAAGTTCAAACTTGTGGCGGCGTGGTGGGCCGGGTCGATGTGCTCCCTCTAATACGGTTGAGTGCAATGATGGCTGGCTCATCCGTCATACTTGTGAACGGGTGCTGCTTGTGGGGACTGGTCTGTTCGGGTTACGAACACTGATTAGACTATTTGCTTTTGCAATAGCATATGCTTGTGGTCACTCTATTCTCCCAAATTTGAATTTAAATGAATCTGTATTATTGTAAACATGTACAACATTTATTTGAAAAGAATACGAGCTGAGTTTCTTGTCAGTTCTTCTCATCTCGAAATCATTCCGAACTGATGGTAGATTTGACATATCATAAGAGTCTGTAATAGACCTACGTGAATAAAGATATTTTGAATTTGAATAATTTCGTTGCCCATTCTGAAGTTATAATATGAAGAATTGCAAAACGTATTGTTATCATGGGATGCCGTGATAAATATTTATAAAACCTATTTGTGCCTCCCTCTCCCGCCCGCCGTCTCGCAGCCTCCGGGTCCAGACATTGATCAAATGTAAAAATAAATAAACTGCTTGTAGAGACTGGTCTGCTCTAATCACTATGACTGATTTCCTCTTATTAATTGTTTAACCAGTTAGTTGTATATTAAATATTTTTTCTATTTGAGTATTTAATTGAATTAGTGCTAATTCGTAGTTTGTATTCACACACTTGAACTTAAAAATGTAAACTAATAATAAAATTATTTGAAAGAGGAACAACAAGTTTCTTGCTCGTTCTTCTTGTGATGAGACAGCTTTCCGAATGAGCGGTAGATTAAAAAAAATGTGATGAGTATTCAAAAGTGCTTCAATGTAAGTTTATATGAATAAATTATTTTCTATCCTATTCTATTTTCACAATATGACATAAGAACTGTCAGGTGAATCATTTATACAAGATCAATGTTCAGGATAAACATTTTATTTCTTTTCTAACATGATTATCATTACATAGTATAAAACAAAGTCGCTGTCGCTGTCTGTCCGTCCCTATGTATGCTTAAATCTTTAAAACTACGCAACGGATTATGAAGTGTTTTTTTTTAATAGATAGAGTAATTCAAGAGGAATGATTATATGTATAATACACTAGCTGTACCCGCGATTTCGTCCGCGTGGAATTTAACTTTATTTTTCTAAAATAAAAGTAGCCTAAGTTACTCCTTATTATATCAGCTACCTGCCAAAAAAAGTCCCGTCAAAATAGGTCCAGCCGTTTCAGAGATTAGCCAGAACAAACAGACAGACGGACAAAAATTGTAAGAAATGTTATTTTGGTGTATATACCGTATTTATATTCATATGCATGTAGTAAAAAACGGTTTTTTTAATATTACAAAGTGTTAAGGTGTGTAAGGGTGTAATTTGGCATTAAACTATACATACACCCTTAAATTTGCACCCTTCTATTACCTTTATTTTCCGACTACTCCAATGCTGTTGGCGAGTGCAGATGGCACTCCAAAGGAAGGACTTATGGAGCGGCTGAAGGACAACTCCCGCCTGACGGATACGACGCCAGTCTGAGGGCACCACTAGGGGTTCGAACCTCGGCTCAGGCCGTCGTAATTTCGATCCCCGTTTGAATTGGACGGGGGATCGATCGGAGAGGACCAACCCCTATTTAATAGCAATATTAAAACTTAAATTTATATAGCAAAACAACGTTTGCCGGGGCTCATATCATAATACATATAAAAAAACTCGCGTCAAACAAATGTAAGAAGTTGTTACCTCGTTTTTCACGTGTGTAACATATAATTTGTCTAAAACATCCTGAAATGTGTAATTGTGTTACAGTCCCACGTGGCAGCCACTCCCCTCACATATTCTCAAGTTTTACGTGTTTTAGTCCGCGAGCCAGAGCCATTTCTCGACAATTACTTCCTTCTCTATTTATTTTTTTATTTATACTACTATGGTGGCAATCAAGCATACGGCCCATCTGATGGTAAATGGTTACCGTAGCCTATGGACGCCTGAAACACCAGGGGTCTCACGCGTTGCCGACCCTTAAGAAACCTAAATATACCCTTCTTGAAAAACCCCATGCTGTAGTCTCTTGGGAAAACCTCGGCAGGTAGTTCATTCCACAATGTAAGTGTACGCGGGAGGAAGCTCCTCTGAAACCGCACTGTCCGAGACCACTTAGGTTCCAGCGTGTGGATGAATTCCCTGTCGATGGTGAGCGGTGCGATGGTAAAAGGTGACCGTCGGCACCATGTCGAACAGTTCCCACAATTTTACTACATGCATATGAATATAAATACGGTACATACACGAAAATAACATTTTTTACAATTTTTGTCTATCTGTCTGTCTGTTTGTTCCGGCTAATCTCTGAAAGTGACTGACTGACCCGGCCCACCATGCCGCCACATGTCTGGACATTTTAGTGAGCATGACTACTCATTCCTATCTTATTTTTTTTTCCTATTTTATTGGAAAATAAATATTCCGAAGCCCTGAAACAGATCGAGTCCAATATCCGGCGGACGGTGTCCGGTGCCATGTCCGGTGTCCGGACACGCGGATAGCGATCTATTCTCGGTTATCGCAGAGTTTGTCTATAGGGGTATTTTTAAATTATTTTTATAACCGACTCCAAAAAAGGAGGAGGTTCTCAATTAGTCTGTTTTTTAAGATTATGACGTTATAAGTCCGAATTTTATAAATTCTTTTGGAAAAACTTTATTTATTATATAATATAGTCCCAATGTAAGCAGAGCTTACGTTTGTACCGTGCGAGGACTCGAATCTGCAACCATTGGAAGTAAAGCTGTGTGCTGAAGTTGCTAACACATCTCTGAAATTACTTTTTTTTTATTTCAACGAGTATAGTTTCATGTTGGCCCTTTTGTTGAGTGTTTGCAAACGGTTTTTTTTTAAGAAAATTAACTATGAAATGGAAATCGGTTCAATAATAATTTAAAAAAAAAACAGCAAGTTAAATATAGAATTTAACTTTAACAACTGACGATCTCTCTGGTCTGGAATGGTGAATAAACCTTTCTCTTGAATCACTCTATCTTTTGCTGAAAACTGCATTAAAATCCGTTGCGTAGTTTTAAAGATATACGAACAGACAGCAGGAGTGACTTTGTTTTATACTATGTAAATATTATTTATATGTAATGTATATTTTATATGGTTTTGTTATTAATAATAATAATAATATCTTCGGACAATTAACACAGCGCCATCTAGTCCCAAGCTAAGCAGAGCTTGTGTTATGGGTACTAGACAACTGATATAAATACATGGATAGATTTTTTTTTTTAAATAATTACATATTATATATAGAAAACACCCAGACCGATACAAACAATCATACTCATGAATACAAATGTTTGTACCGTGCGAGGAATTGAACCCACGACCATCGGATAATAAAGCGGTGTGCTAAACCACTAGACCACCGAGGCTGTCATTGTTTTTCGGTTTTGTTATTATTCCTACTATCTATGTATTTAAGAA